TCAGGAGAGGAATGAATATATATGTCTAGCCTCACGTCTCTCCTCAGTACAACAGATGCTCTCGATCAACTTAACTGATGTATGCTGAAAGATCTAATAGCACTGGCAAAATCTTCTGGAGACCATCAGCTACTGTGAATAATGCTATGACTAAGCCTACTATTTAAATGGCTGAGGTCCAAGAATTTAAGGGTATCAGATACCTATGAGATTGGACCACCAGCTCCATTTCACTTACTTCTCCTAGAATGAATGAATGGAGAAGATGTGTCCTGAATGGGCATCTAAAAAAACGGCATGGGCACAGCTTGCTTAAGGTTGCTGGCGACTTGTTTTGCTGTAAGCCTCTCTACAAGGTAGGGTATGGGAACTTTGGTTCCTTTTTCTAAGCCAGGGAGAGTGCAGAAACATTTTGCAGATAGCTGACTTACCCACTCTCAATAGTGTATGACCTCAGTAGAAAGGAAACTCATTCAGTGAAAATACTGTATTTTTTTTTCCTGGCTTCTCTGAAAATCCAGTCCTGGCTCCAGGGGTCTTATGGAATGTCTCATGGGAACGTCTCAATGGCCAACTTGTTGTCTTGTTAAACACAGGGTGATAAAGTTACAGAGATCCCTATCTGTTCATTTATCGCAGCATGCTCTAACACACTGAGAGCTGGAATAGCCCCACACTCTGCAGTGGAAACTCTTAGGACCACAGTCTTGTCATCTCTGAAGAAGTTTTCTGTTACTTCTGTAGGCAACGACAGGTCTGGTCTGTTTTGCTGATGAATTATGCGATTCTTCTGAGACATAACTTTGGCTTAGAGCAGATGCGTTTGCCTGGCTGAGAGGAGTACTGTAACAACAAATGTACTTATTGGATTGTCTACCATCACTGAAGTCATCGCCTTCCGGCTGAGGCCAAATGTTACAATGCACATGTCTTCCCTCATCTCTCAAGCAAGTCACAAGACTGCTTAGACAACTCTGAGTAAACTTAACTACAGATAGTATTCTGTGGAGCTGACACTTTTTTAACGTTACACATGTGTGATCTCAGTTTATTGGATGACAGTCAGCTTTAGAGATAGCAATTCCAGGAGGTTTTCTCAAGTAACTCTCTCGGACGTTAGCTACCTCTTAGGCCATGCAGTGTAATCTTCTCTTCAAATGGTCTCCAAAATATTGTTGTCACATCCTAGTGGGATGTCCAAGCAATCCCAAAGGCGGGCTAATTCAGAGGCACAATGGTTTTCTATCCCTCTGCCTCTGAACTTGCTCAGTCATTGTTAAAAGGTTATCCCATGGCCTCTTTCAAACTTAGACAATGAGGGCCACAGTCAGACATCTTAAATTCTGCCTAAATCACTAGCTCTAACGTTCTCTATTAGCAGGAAGCAGTTAACAAACATATGAATAGAAAGAAATAGTTAGCATTGTTTTTAAAAGGAAAACAGTGATACTGAAATAGCTGAAGTGCTTGATTAGAATTAAGAAGGAAAAACAAAATTTTCAGGTGTGCAATAGGTAAAAAATGGACTAGACAGAGGTTTTGAGATTAGAAACAAAATAAATTGTAAAAATACTGCATAAATAGAGAAACTCCATCAGCAAGGGGAGGGAGAGAAAGATCTAAGTGCTGTTTTAGAGATTCCAGAGATCTTTGCTGAATGTACAACTATGTACTACAGAGTATCTGAGATAATAGACCTCATGAAAGGTGGGAGAAGCAGGAAGGTACCAGAATAATTACAGTGTCACTGTGTCAAATACTACTGCCCTCTCCTGACATGCCACGCTCACTTCCTTCCCTGTAATAGTGTGCAGGCCAGATCAAATAAAATTGAAAGAACAAAATGAAAGATATATTTTCAAACTGCTATAGCTGAGGTTTAAGAAAACAGTGGGTTTTGTTTAATGGTTTTTTTTTTTTTTCAAATCACCGTTTCCATCAGTTCTGGTAATTGTTTATAGAGGTTACCTGCCTGCTTTCTGAGACCAGTAGATGCTAAAAGACTGCAAGAAATCTGTTCAAAATGGGGCACAGCGTCCTCATCTTTCCGAAAAGCTTCTCTGAACTAGCCTGTGCTGGTTCCTGTTAGGGACAGGAGATTGGACCTGATGGACAGTAGGTCTGGCATGGGTTTTTATAAAATAGATGGTACCTAAGTTCAACCAAATAGCTCTGGAAGAAAAATGAAATGGTGCTAACTCATGCTTGTGAAGCATCTACAAAGCCTCAAAGCAGAAAAACCCCGAAGGAGGGTTGAGTTTTGCACGTCTGGGCCACAGCAGACAGCACAAGGAGCTAGTGAGGGAGTTCTCAGGGCAGCTCACACTGGACCTCAACCACTGAACCATCCTTTCACTCCTCTCATCACTACATTTTGTCCCTTCTTAGAGATGTCTCTCTCAATGGACAGTTGACATAATTATTTCTGCATTTCAAAGACCAATAACAGAAGGAACCTTTTGCAGAAGAGATTAGTTTATCTGAAGAAGCAGGCAGAAGTAAGCAAGGGGACTCCAGCTGGGGTCAATAGATGAGAAGGGCTGTTCCCACGCTACAGGTTTGGACCTGCCAATGGTGCTCTAAGCATTTGCTTACACCTGTAGGAAACAAGGAGGCCTTTTTTTCTTTGATTAGCCTTTTTACACAAAAGAATCCAAAAATACATGACTGAACATGACTTTTTCAATTCAGCCATTAATGTTACATAACACTGAGATGCTATGAAAGGGTAGAGATGTGATCAGCCATGGAAAGTTAAAGTGGACCATGAGAAAGGCTCTGTGTTGGGAAGTAATTCACACATTGAAAACCACTGAGGAACTCTGGATCACATACAAAGATAGAGAAACAGGAAAGAGACAAATCAGCCAACAGCAGATTCCAGAGTCTGCACATTCTGTTATTCAGTTTGCTGTTATTAAAAAAGCAAATGTCAACACATTCATTTTGTTCCTGACAGTCAGTTCTAATAAATCCTAATAGTGTGACAAGAACTCTGGCTTCTTCCATTCCTCAGATTATTCTAAAATCCACAATGACAGAAGCTCTGAAATAGTTGCCTTTGTATAAACCAAAAAAAAAAAAAAACCTCTCAAGGAGACTAATTCTATATTTACTACTACGAAACTAAAGAAAGAAAATTTAATGGCAAAAAAGGCTTCTGGTTACAAGGCTAGGAGTATAATGGAATGATTTATCGTGATAAATTTTTATTCGTGATTCCTCTCCATCTTGGAATCAAAGATAACTACAAATAAAAGAGTTTCACCCTGTTTTAGCTTGGAAGTATACTAAAATTACTTTATCCATTTCGTTATACACCTCTCTCTTAAAACCTTTCAGAAGAGACTATTGCTATGGGGTTCAGTGACTGCTTTCTAAAGCCAGATGTTTTGTCTGTGGTCTTATTGCATCACCACAGAGATCACCACTATTGCAGAGTCCCAATAGCAGAGACAAACTTCCATTTTTAACCTCAGCAGTCAGTTGGTGTGTCAAGTGCCAGTAGCTTTGCATATCTGCATGCCAGAGCTGCTGCCTTTGAGACCTATAGGTGCAAGAAAACACAGTAGGCTCAGGAGTACCTGTGGAGTTATAAGGCAGGTTGAAACTAGACTTCAGCAGAGACAGCCAGCTTAAGGAAGTAAGGAACCACATGTTCTCCAGATGTTTTCTGCTCTAGCATAAAGCCACAGAGTAGAGTGTGGTGGCGGTTTAGCGGAAGGAGGGACAATAGATGGCTATCAATTAAAGATACAAATTTATCTAGATCTGTGGAAGTGGTTGAATCACCAGATACAAATTCAGTATCTCCTTTGGTAACTTTTCTTCAAAAAGAGCCTGCTTTTGTTATAGACCTACGCATTCAGGGCTCAAATGTCTGTAAATTAATTTTATAAATTCTTAATCAATACGAGATTCTATTTGGCTCCAATCACTCTCTCCCTTGCCCTCTCCTACTAATCTGTTCTCTTTCTTAAGGAACGGTCTGCTATCCTTCTCATGTTTTTAGACAGAAGTTTGTTCACTTTCACCTTTTTCTGGAGGAAAGAAGGCGAGAGGTTATTTTTTAATATCCACCTTTAAGGAGGAAATAAGAAGAAAGGAAAAAGAGAGAAAGAAAGTAGAAGTAGTAGCAGTTTTCTGTTGATCTCCGTTGCACTCTGCAGTGTGTGTACTGTAGCCCGTGGACACTGTCACACGGTAGCTGTGTGGTACCACGCACAGCTCTAATAGCTGAGCCCTTAGGATGACTCACCCAGCCAAGGCAGCACCTCCTAACGCAGAGCAGAGTTTGCTTGTCACCTCCTTTGCTTGTGTGTGTAGAGCACTGAACGTGGTAGAGCCAACTCCCTAAAACAGGAGAGACATTTCCACCCTTATTTTCTTATTCTTTCCATAGATTACCAAAATGCCACTTGGCCTCAGTGAGGGCTAAATCAGACCAATGCTGATTCCTTTTGCTAGTGCTGGTACATACGGTTTGGGGACGCGAAAGCCTCAGCATCTACTTTCAGCTGGTCAGCAATGATCTGAGCCCCCTTCTTCACGTGCAGCAGCAAAGTTCAACAAGGATGAAACAAGCCATGCCGGGGCTTGGACAGAGAAGAATAGGTGTGGGATTCAGCAATAGCTAAAGAGCAAGGGGTTAGTCTGAGGCGTGTGATTCATATCCTACTGTACCACTTTGTGCCTCAGTTACCTGTGCATTAAAACAAATTAACTGCGCCTTTCTGCCTTGTAGGGCACAAGCAGGCTTCACAGAGAGGTTCTCCATGAGACGCGGCTTGCTCAGCTAGTGGAGCACAGGCACACCATATCATTCAGGGTGTTACATTGTGGGAATCCCATGAGGGGCTTCAGTTTGGTAGGAGATATGAGGATTCCAATTTTAGGATAATTTAATACAAAAGGAAAGGGGAAAAAAAAGGAAAATTTCTTGTTGTTTAATACTAATAATTAAGACTCTACCTGTCTACTCTGGCTGCTCTTTTCAACAGGATTTATAAGGATAACCACGCTGGGACTCAACAGTAAGTAAGTGTGCCAGGAGAAGCCTAAACTTTCATGCCATTAACACCTCTGAGCAGACCTCTGTGAACGTGGTGTGAGTGACAGATGATTTCAGAGTGTGGAAACAAATGAAGTTTAAGAGGTAAATAAGGTATTCCTCTTGCAGAGCCACATTCATAGTGCAGGCTATTCAGCCCAGGTACACTGAGGTACATGTAAACTTAAATGGCAAAGCAGGTACCCAGGAGATGCAAGGGGCACCTTTTTACCCAGAAATGACTGAGGAGGTCAGAGGCACGAGGTGTAATGGACAAATTGAGGGGGGCGGCTTTGAGCGGAGAGGATGAGAAAGGCCCATGGCAAGGAGGAAGGGGGAAGACCGGGGCTCCCACGCTGGTAGTCCACAGTGGAGAGGCTCCTCATGGGGATCTGGAGGGACTGTGTAGCGTATCTCAGCCCACGGAGACACCAAAAGGAGGTAGACCAAGGTCCGAACGGAAGGAAAGCACTCACCCTCCCAGAAGTGAGGTTTATTTAAGTCCCAGCTCCCTGCTTGCCCCGCTTCCGACCGGCGGTGCCGCTGGGATTGCCCTGAGCCCCCGTCACTGCTGGCCAGGGGGTTTCCTTACCATGGTGGGGCCACGTGCTGGGAGGCCGCCCCTTCCCCTGTGCGTGCCCCTGGCCGCAGCCACCGGCAGCCAGGAGAAGGCCGTTCCCCATGTTATTTATGGTGAATTTGGGCTTATTCGTGCACGGCATTCCAGCACGCAGGCGCCACCGCATCTTGTGGGGAGATTTCCGCGTGATGAATAGACTGAGAAAGGCCAGGCAAACGGTATTATTATAACACTACATAAATATGTTTTTTTTCATTTAACATTAAAACACCTGATTTCCTTTAACATTGTAAACATGTCACTTTATTAGGTCTGGGAGAGCTGATGAATTTAAAGTCATTTTCAGCAAACAAGTGGCAGCCTTTCTGTGTTTTACGTGGAGGGGAGGGAAAGAAACCTTTATCATGAAAACATATGCAGTAGTAAAAGGGACACGAGCGAGCTGTCGCCCACTCTGAAGTTTCCCACGGAGAGGGGAAGAGTCACACAGGTGATACTAGTGGAAAACAGCTAGAAAATGAGGGAAATACAGGATATAATTTCCTTGAAACAGTTGGCGCAGACTCCATGTTTTGTAGCTAATAAATTTAGCTTTCAGGAGGAGATTTGTATAAGCTGCATTTAGTAGTTTTTAAGAATGAAAATGAATGCATTAATTAGTACAACATTACCATCTGCTAAACAAGGCAATTTTGGCCAGAGCTCGGCAATTTCTTCCTGGACATGAAGCTTAAAAACAAGGCTTTTCAACAGTAAAATTACTGCCCTGTAAAAGGACAGATAAATGTCTAAGCAAGCGCCTCATTACTGTCAAACCAATGATTTGTTGTTTCATTTTACTGTTGTGTTTTCCTGGTTATTACAGTGAAGGTTGAGTCAGCCTTTCCATTATAAATAAACTGCTTTTAAGGAACTGTGGTTTGACCAGAGAAGAAAACTTGCTCAGAGCACTTAGGTAAAGTGCAAAAATAAAAACAGCAGGAAGTGTTGGGATTTTTAGGGTTACCCTTTGGGCTGAGCGGTTCTTGACTTCTTGAGGGTTGTTTTCTTTTTTTTTTTGCCCTGCGAATCAGTTCCTCCCTGCTAAGACCCCTGTGCCACTGACACCCAGTTCAGTTGAAGGAAGGTCTGAGACCAATTCAGAGATATTGAGTAGACTACATGGAAGAAGCACTCGGCAGCCTCGTGGCACTAAGCTCAGAGGTGGTGTCTGCATGGGGCTGTTCCCTCCTTGCCATTTCCATTGCAGCGAGGGGAAAGCGTAGCCACAGTGGACTGGGATGAGGAATGGGCGAGCAGAGCTGGTGCCCGCCTTGCTGGTGCCACTTTTGCTCTGGGGTCACTGCTCCCAGCAGGGCAGGGTTTCCATTGCTGACCTGCTGCTGGTGCCGCACGGCAATGCTGCCTTGCATTTGGCCACTGGGCAATACTGCTCAGTAGGTGCTAACATGTTCCCGATCGAGACTGGTCAGGGCTTGTGATAAAAGCCTTGTTTTAGCTCCTGGTTGGTAACAGGAGATGTTAGGCTTAGCTAATTAATTGCCCTACCTCCATCAGCCCCCAGGTGTCAGTGGCCTGTGGTGATTGTTGAAAATAGGATCACATTTCATAAATCAGTGTGCATCTGCTGTTTAAACCAAGCAGGCTCTCCCAGCGCTTGGCTCCATTTTTCTGCCCTCTGTTTTGTTTTGTTTTGTTTTGTTTTTGTTTTGCTTTAAGTATGACTGATTGTGAGGCACAGATTTCATTAAGGGTTTCTGGTAAATATCCCTTAGCGTTGGCTGGAGAAGTACAACACATGCTCCAGTGATGACTTGTACCATAAAACCAAATCAAACTAAAATCTGTGCATATGAGAAAGACAGCATTGTAAGCTGATACATTCTTGTAAATATAGCATTAAAGGCTGTTCACAGGATATGTTGGTGAGTTACGGTCAGAGGCCTCCCACTGACACCTTGCAATCGTCTGGAAACAGTATTTGCTGAGAGCCGACCTGGCAGATCAGAAAGTAGACTGCAGTAGCTCTGGGCACAGAGACATGCAGCCTTGCTGAGGCAGGAACAGTGCTCTTGGGCATCTTGGAGAAGGGCTCCAGGAATCAGCCTGCGAAGGACCTTTCCCTGCCTTAAGAGAGCTCGTGAATAAGGGTGATAGGATGGGGGATGGCAGGGCTATACTAGCAGATCCTAAACCCAGCAGCTAGAACAGGAAGAAAGAGGCATTTAATTGTTGTCATCTCATCTAAGTAGAAGTGGTTTATGCGTGGAGAGACTAAGCTCACAGCTTGACTAGCAAGTACAGTCTGCAAATTTCAGAAAGGCCTGTACTGTGCAAAGTACAGTCTGAGGGTGGCAGATCAGCACTTCCTGACAGAGGTTGTACAGAGACAAAGCCACCGAGGCCCAGGAGCCATCCTGCCACCGTAAGCAATAGCTCTTAGGCTGAAGCGAGTTTCACAGAGCAACATGCACACATTTGTCATGAATATGATAGCAATCTGCATTGGTGAAAGAGAATATTCGTATGTTGTTGTCTCAGAAGATATCCATTTCAGTCTCTGCTCAATACTGCCCATTCCCACAAAATAAATTGTTTATTCCAGGAGAAAAAAAAATATGTATTTTAATGAAAACCATCTTTTTTAGCCCATTAGTGCATTGCAATGGCAATGGATTAAATCAACTGCAGCTGATTGTTACTAAGGTTTGACCAAAACAGCTAACTGTTTTCTGCAGAGATAATTTACCTAATTGTCTATTTGCAGCAGACATAATGTGGCTGTGAATTGCAGTGCCCTCCTGGGTCTCTAAAAGCAAACAGCTCACTTGCCAAATGACCGGGATCTCTCTTACAAGCACACACAAACACACACAGCACTTTTCAAACTGATTGCTGGCTTCTCTGCTAAACACACAGACCCTTCTATTAATCTAAAGGCGGCACAGAAAATGATTAGGCTGTTATAGCATTTCCACAGGGTTACAGACCTGCCAGGTATCTTTGGAACAAATGAAATGTGGCACTCTGGAGGAATACAAGGTTCACTGAAACCTCTGTACCATGTGCCCATTATGATGGGATGGCAGCTCCTCTAGTGAACTGGGGGCAGTGGGCAGAAGGGGCAAACTGGGTGGGAGACAGACATGAAGGCATACACAGACTGAAGATGTATGGTGATACTCAGAACGTGAGCTATTCCTGTTAAGACCTAATTTGGTAGTTCTCCATCAGCAGCTTTAAGAGGTGCTGGAACTTCTTTATAGGCCCTTCCTAATTTGGCTACCTCAAGAAAATCCTGTGCATCTCTCTCTGCTCTATTGCTTGCAGTTAAGCCTGTGCAATTTCTCCTGTTAAGCCTTTTTGTCTTTCAACGGGTTTCTATTATTAACAAAAACCATATAGAATTAGAGACTTGAAGCTGGATATTCACCCATCTGAAAAAATAAAACAAAATAACTTTGAAGAAGTCCTTCAGCTAAGTGACAAGCATCTGCTCAGATACCCAGAGGACTCATCTTTCATTATTAATTTGCCTAGCTGTACTCTCCATGCCAGCTCTGAACTCAGCTGAGTCTTCTGAAGGCAAGCGGGAAATATCCCTTTTGCATGCTTCATCCACAAATCCCTTAAGCTCACCCTTGCGCAAAAGCCTTTACTGCCAGTTTTCTGCTTCTACTCACCCTCTGCAAGGATAAGGCTGCTTGCCTTGCATCCTGCTGTTCTGCAAGTGCATGTAGCATCTTCTCCTGCATGCCTGCTCTTTCAAGACCACTGCTCTCTGTGGTGCTAGCTGTGAATAGTGGCAGAGAGAAATGCTCACAGTGCTGCCTACTGAAGGGAGAGCAGCACTTCTGAATGGGATGCTGCTTACAGCTTGATCCTTCATGTGTGCGCCTCTCTTTCATATGCTCCCAGTACCCCCATGTGGGCAGGGAAGCAGAACTGCAGGGACTTGCTCAGCTCTGTAATCCACATAGGGCAACACAGCTGGGAGCCCCTTTCTTCTCCCTCCAAAAGCTAAACAGAGCTGCTACTCTTTAAAAGCTATTTGGAATCCCACTAAATTCACAGAGGGCAACTGGCCGCAGCTGCAATGAGATAACAAAAAAACTGTAATAAGAGTAAGGAAACAAGCATAGGAAGTAGCCTGCAAAAACCCATGGACCAGAATTGGTGGCACAGCAGGAAGGGCAGTGGAAGGAAGGGGTGCATGGGGCAGGGGTTCAGGGTGCAAAGGACACAAGCTAGGCCTGTGCTGTAACATAGGGGAGGCCTCCACCACTGTTCCAGGGAAAATATACTTTCTGATTGCTGGTCTCATCTGCCCCCTCTCACCCTGCAACTAACTATAGAGTCTCAATTGCTAAATCCTTTTCCAGGAAGATTTCTGATTATTTCCAAAAG